CCAACCACCTCTTAGCATTCCCCGCCAGAGAATGGGGGAAGAGGTGAAGGCGGATTGCGTCATCAGGGACACCATTTAACTTGAACTCGTTCGTCAGCTGCAGAAAACGGGAAAGATGCACCCTTGCCTCCTCATCCTTCAAGCCATGGAAGTGGATAGAGGATGTAATGAGTTGAATCCAGCATGGCTTGATCTCAAAGTTGTTCGCTGGAATGGGCAGATAGAGGATTATAGGGCGGATGTCAGCAATCCGTGGAGTGTAGTAGTACTCCAAGGTGGGACCCGGCGGCGGTGGATATGATGAACCCCATCTTCCTGGGGTATGGGGTTGTTCCCCAAGATCTGATTCACCGGGGGGAACCTGGTGAGGATTCCCCTGGTGTGGATTGTGATCTCCTTCCATCTCGTGCTCTTCCTCAGAATCGCTGCTCAAGTGGCCATCTATGCGCTTCGCCATAGCCAGTCTAGCTTGCTGTTGTTTCCTGAGTTGGCGACAGGTGCGTTCAAGCTCCGGATCCAACGGCAGTAAACCTCCCGACTGGCTACGGGTCATGCACTACCTGCACACAGTCAAGCAAGCAAACCTGTGAAGGCAAAAGTGTAACAAAGCAAACAATGCGAAAAAGAAAAGCTAAATTAACAGGATTCACGTTTCTTCAACAACCTAGCCGTCCCCGGCAAAGGCGCCAAAAACTTGACTCACTCCTACTGTCACTCTAGAAAATGGCCAAGTGTAACCACTTCCTAAAGCGTAGTATAGCGGGTTTGGGTTTTAATGTCAACCCGGGTCCTAGATGTGATGACTACTCAGTGAATTCTTATTATCTAGCGGTGAAACTTAAGTGCAGGTTCAAACAAGAAAAACAAGCAAAGCAATTAAACGGTTGTTTTCAAGTCGAGAGAGGTCACCCGGATATGGTTCCCCCTGCACTGCAGTTAAGCCGGATTGCAATTTACCAACTTTAGTTTCTATGATAGTTATACTGCGGGAGGTTCTTAAACAGTCTGAAGTCTCGACTAAAGGTATCCAGACCCTCTCAATCTGAGTCCCCAGCGGGCGACTAACCTCCACCGGAGTAAACAGATTGAGGCCCTAATGAACCAAACCACCATTACCGAAGTAAATTCGATACACAATAGTGAATTGGCTCCTCGACTAAAGTCGCCAATTCACTACCTTCAATTAAGGGTGCTCTATCAACCTAGGCAGATAATATCTTTCTAGGCTAAAGCAGAAATAATAGGAATTTGATCAGGATTCATGTCATTCAATAAATCAAACCTCAATTGAATATAATCAAATCACACAATCTGTACTTGGGTTCATACAATCAGACCTAACATACAAATCTAGGGTTCTCCATACCCAGATGAATAAGAAAACTACTCCATAGAGAGAGATGGAAAATCTAGCTCAGATGCAGAAACCATACTGTGAAGGATGGGTTTCTTCTCCTGGTCGTCAATCGGCACTTCTCCAAGCTCAAGCCGGGCTCCAATGGTGATGAAGATCAAGCTAGGGCACTTGGGAACTCTGGTTCGTCGCTTTCTCTCTCTAGGAATCGCTCTGTCTCTCTACAAACTCGGAACCCCATCTCCTTTGGCTCAAATCTGCCTAAAAGGCCGACCCTGGGCAAAACACGGTCGAGGGCACGGTCGTGCTTTGGTTTTGCCCGCCCCGTGTTAAAAACACGCCCGCGTCGGCCAAAACACGGTCGTGCCTAAATATGGACACGGCCGTGTTTTGCTTTATGCCAGCCCGTGTTTTGCTTTTCCATCAGTTTAGCTCTCGCCAATAAAAACACTGGCGTGCTTTTTGGTGTATACGGTCGTGTTTTGATTTAGGCCAGCCCGTGCTTTGGCCCCAGCTTGGCCGAATGACTTCCAAATACCCCGAAACTCGTGCTTAGCCTTTCCTTCGACGTCTGGGACCTGAAATATGACAAAGTAGCACAACCCGGCGTAAAAAGGGCCAATAATACACGACTACTAGCCGCAAACGGATAAGAACTAAGGGTGCAAACATGTGCAAATATATCGTTATCACTTACACAAACATTCTGAACTGAAATTCCCATAGCGGGAAGTTCTTTCCATTCAAGCGTATTGTGATAGCATCAACCTTTGTAGAGTCCATGATGCAAGGAGACGGCCGAGCAAGAGAGGTGGGATCGATACTCTTATCACAAGACAAGAAGCAGCGAGACGACAAGAAGCTGCATGCGAAAACCCAGAGACCACAAGAGGCTGCTCTCGAAAACCCAGAAAGAACCAAGGCAACATAAACGAAAGCACAAACCTGAACCAAGACAAGAAGCTGCGAGAACCACGAAAGGCAGCACACGAAAACTCACAGAAGCACGCTATAATAGACGAATAGGCTCTGATACCATGTCAAATATGATCAAGAACTGAAATACGAGAACACAAGACGAGATTTACGTGGTTTCCCCAACGATGATCGTTGGGACTAGTCCACGACACCAGACAGAAATATACTTATTCACCAGAATTCTCCATACAACTCGGCAGCCCTAATCACCCATATATACGAGCTACTAACCGTAGGTTCAGGACAATTATCATACTAACGCCAAATAAACTCGGCTAATTACAATATGGTACTTGAGCTTCTAACAACTATAAGATACAATACTTAGATGGTCGAGTAAATGTTAGGAGAAGATGTGCACCAACAACCCATAATGATCTAAGAGCTCTCGAGGAAGAACCTTCATTCTACCATGTGGAAATCCTGCACTCCCCTTGATTTTCACTAGGGGCATATTAGTAATTTTAGTTCCCATAATCCCACCCAAAAGTGCGCCGGTTTCTTTTTTTTTTTTTTACTATGCCAGCAATTATTAGCATTATTGGGCCCAATTACAAAGCCCAATGCTTAGTCCAAATCGTTACATAAATTTTGGTTGTTATGAGGTTTTTGAAAAAATTAGTAGCTAATTTTTTTCATTCGTAGTAACTACAGATTGAGTTTAAATAGGAAAATTACAAGTGTAAGATGTTTGTTATGAAGGGAATTGTGGATAGAAAATTAAATCACTAATTCAACATCAAGTTTAATTACTAATCAAATTACTTATTTATAAGCATCGCCAATCTTTCATAAAATTATTAAATAGACACTAATGAATTAGGTTTAACCTTTCATCAAAATCTATATATAAGTTGGAGCTTTCTGAGTATTACACTGTGTAACTGCACAACCATAAGATTCTATAGATCATTAAGATCACTTGTGATTTTCATCAATCGGATTTCATAATTAAAAGAATAATAAATGATAGAGTTTTACAAGATTTTCACCATTCAAAAATTGTTGTTTTCCTCTTAATTTTCATCATGTTTACCTTTGGCGCCCCCCTGTCTCGGCGGATTTCAAGGTCAATGTCGATGCTGCATGCTTTGATGGGGAGGGTTCTGGGTTCGGGATGGTGATAAGAGATCAAGAAGGAAAGTTTTGTTTGGCGGCTGTGAAGAGAAGTCGAGTTCAATGGACCCCGGAAAAGGCGGAATGTTTGGCAATCATGTGGGGGATTGATCTAGCAGTGGAGCATGGTTTTGGGCAGTGCGAAATTGAGACGGATTGTCTAAGTGTCGTCCAGAAATTGAGAAGCGAGGGGAAGGTGATGACCGACCGAAGAAGGAGTGCTCTGTGAAGAGCTTCGTGACCATCTGAGATACCTGGGCTCTATCAAAGTGGGCTTCTCGGGCCGAAACAATAACAAATCAGCTCACCTAATGACCCATATTACTTGTGAATGGGAAGAAGTAGAAATCTGGGCTACAAGCCCACCATCTTTTCTTGTTACTCAGCTTTTAACAGATTCCTGTACTATTTCTGCTACATGATGAAATAATACAGGGTTTTCTATAAAAAAAACACTGAAATCTGCCGTGGAAATAAATTATTCAATGGTTGTCTATTAAACCCCATAATATATCTTCATTATCCTTCTTCCAGGTTTTCGTCTATAATTTATGTATGGGCTCCGCATAAAAGCCATGTATTGGACTGCTTGCCAAAATTGGGTTTTGTCAACTAAAAATAATTCAAACGCCCACTCTGTCGATTCCGTCTTAGCTCTCTGTTTTTAGGGCAATTATGTATTTTACATTTGTGTGAATTTTTAGCTTGATAACCTCTTTTTCATTTTAAAATCCTCTTTTTATCGGTTTCTCGCATATGTTGATCTCTGTTTTTATCAGTTTCCGTTTCCACTTCTTAGTTAAGTTTCCACGGGGCCGAGTTGAAAATGATCATAAATGCTAATTAGAACAAGTTATTTGCAAAGAAACGTTACTGTTCATCTAGACACAATTTACTATTCATTTAGACTCAAAATTACTGTTCAACCCTCCCCTGATTGGTCCATGCTCTGCGGCCGCATTTTCTTATTGGCTGCTTAGCTTTGTGTGGGCCGATTTTTTATTTGTTTTTTGTTGTTCCTGTGTGTGTCGCGTTGCCCTCAAATGGACGCTTATTTTCCCTGCGTTTTCTGCTTCTTTCTATCATTTCCCCTGAGGCCGCCCCATATAATTATTACACGCACTGCTTTGCTTTCCTCTCTTGCACGTGGGCTTTGTTTCTTGTCTTCCTGGATTTCGGCCAATGATGGGCGCGCCATTTTATATACAGCGTTTTGCATTTGGGTCTGGGGGGAGCGGTTTCCTTTGTGTTTGGCCTGATATCTAACAACCGCTTCTTCGGCGACTGGAATCCTTCATTGCTTTTTATGGTTTCATTGGCGGTTCCTTGATTTTATGTTGTCCTTATCTTTTAGTCAATCGCAGTGTCGTTTCCCATTTTTTATGTTTCCTTTCGTCATTGGACCAGTAACTGACATGCAGTACTATCACGTCTGTTCATTCTTTCCTTCATTTTTTTTATCTTTCGTAGCGCCGGAACTTCCCTACTGTCATTCTGTTTTCTTTCTCAAAACTTGTTTCCTCTCTCTTTGGTGCTCTTCTTTTCCCAAACCATGGAGTTTACGCTACTTTGTAATCTCGGAGATCCTCGCAATGCCAGCGTTTCTTTGCGGCTCCGACTGCTGCATGTGTGGCCGGCGAAGTCTCTGGGGGACATTAGGATCTACAATTACTGTACTCTTTGGGTCGACGAAACGGTTAAGTTTCTGTCCTTCCCGCCTTTTCTTTTTCGCCCCCGTTTGTTGTGCCCTCTTCGCTTTGTTCATACGGCAGGCAGGTGTGTTTTGCGCAGGGTATGCTGATACAGGGCGTCTCACCGACTTCGATGGCTGCTGGGATTCATCATAATCTCTTGGTTGGCAAGATATACGTCATAAAGACTTTTGCCCTGAGCAATCCGCCGAATCAGTATCGGGCCTGTTCCTTTGATTTGGCTCTGGGTCTTTCGCCTTCAGCTTCTTTTCAGCCCTGTGTTCTGCCTGCTGAAAGTTTCCCACTTGATGCTTACGAGTTTGTGGCTTTCTCTCAGTTGAACATGCGTGCCGGTAACCATCGTTATTTGACAAGTTAGCAGGTTTGTTTTTGTTAGATTTGCTTTGCTTATATATCTGTTGTTTGTTTACTTAGATTTTACCTTAGTACTGTTTTCGTAGATGTCGTTGGCCGACTCAGTTCGATCAGCGGGATATCGCACAAGATCACAAATAACGGGCCTGCATTCAAGCAGACGGTCATAGTTGAGGATGAAAGGTGTTTTGCGTTTTTCTGTGTTTATGGGTTCGGTTGTGAGTGTCGTGTTTGTTCTTTGTTTCTCTTACGTGTCCCTCTTTCTTTTCTCAATGGAGTGAAGGTCTCGATTACGCTCTGGGATGAGTTTTCTGCGGTGTTGGATCACGTTGCTTTGACTCAGGCTGACTCGATTGAAGCTGTGATTTTGGAATTTGGCGGCTTGCTGGTTAATAAGCTGGGAGGTATGTTGTTGCTTCCTTATTGCACGCACGGTTTCGTTAGATTGAGTGTGGTCTATTAGTATGTTATAGTTTTTGTTGTCTTTTATTCTACTTTTCAGATGATTATGTTCTGTCGAGTTCTGCAGCTACTAGCATATCAGTCAATCCTCCTGTACCAAAGGCCTATTTTCTTGCATCTAGGTAAGTTAGTTGTGGGCTGTTGCCGATTTCCTGTGTACAGTTGGTGTAGTCCGTTTTTTGTCAAGGCTCCTATGTTGTCTAAGTTATGGTGCTTGGATCTCTACTAGCTTTGCTGAGAAACATGAGGTTGTTGAATCCTTGCCGGTTGAGTTTGCTAATGCCGCTGATGCTACAGCAGATGCCGATCGTCGAACCAGGACTTTGAGCCAGCTGCTGGCGTTATCTAGAACAAATGCCTCACTGGTATTGCGTGTTCGTCTAAAAGTTTATTGCTATCATTTTCCCCGTGTTTGGACGTAACTTGCCCTTTTTTTTTTGTTAGGAAGAGAAGTATCGCTGTGGTGGAGTGATTGTTAATGTCGAGTCAAGCACACCTTGGTATTATATTTCATGCAAGTTCTGTTCGAGGGCTGTTTCGAAGCGTCGTGATGATACGTTTTGGTGTCCAAAGGATTGGCAATTGGACGAGGAACAAACTCGCGTCAAGTATGACCATGTGTCATTTTTTGTATGTTCGTTGCCTGTTGTGAGTTTTGTTGCTAATGTTCTTTTTCCCTCAGCTACAAGCTCCAGCTTAAACTGAGGGATGACTCCTGTGAGGCGCGTTTTATACTGATGGGGGGGGGGGGGGGGGGTGTGCGCTTACGCTGTTGAACGTTTCTGCTGCACATTTGGCCCAGAGGTTCCCCCATCGTCTTGGTCAGCTGCCCCCACAACTGCATCAGTTACGAGGGCAATATGTCAAGTTTGATTGTAGGTTGCCGTTGCCGGGCCTATCTGGTTTCTCCTCGGGTGAATTCCGTGTGACCCAAGTGGTTCCTCTTGATGATCCTATTGTGGTGGGTGATCTGCTTGAGTTTTCTTCGCCCCCTCCGTTGGCTGCTCCTATGATGCGCGCATCGAGTATCGTGGGGGCCCCTCTAGTTCATCGAGGTCAGTGTTGGGTGCTTTGGTTTCTGTGTGTCTTGCTTTGGTCTGTCTATCATGTCTAAAGTGAAATGTTTGTGATGTGTTCTCAAGGGCCTCGAAGGGAAAGGAAAAGGTTTCAGACTCTCTTCTCATTGAAGCTCCGGCTATGCCGTTTAGCATCACTAATGAACCAGATCTGATTGGGAGGTATTGGCGTTGTTCCTGAAGTTTGTTTTGCTAATTTGCGATGTTGTTCGAGGATGACATCTGAATCAGTTACTATAATTCACAAATTTCCCAGTTATGAGGCCAGGGACTTTCGAAACCCTATTTTTGCAAATGTCAGAAATGAAGATATTGATACTGAGTCACGGGTTCTTGGAGCTTCTCAGGTTTCAGTGATGGGTGTACAGGTGGGCTCTACCCGAGCTGTTGCACCTGCTGCGATGTCCTCTGCTGTTCATTCTGCTGTACCATCTGTCCAATCTGCTGCTTCAATGATCTCCATACGATCAGCAAGAATTGAAGAGTCTATGAGCCCTGAGGATGTTGGTCGTGGCTCATCTATGCCAGCTGCGAAAGTTTTAAAGCCATCCCCCGAGTCATCTCTTGGAATGACTTTAGGTTCAACCGTCGTGTCACCATCGGCATCGCCGTGAGTATTTATGTTCTATATTGTCATTTTTTACTGTTTTATGTTTGTGTTATTGCTCCCATTCTTAGAATGAAAAACTCTATTTGTTTCAAGGCTGGTTTCTCCACTGTCCAAGATCAAGGTGGAGAAATTGGATGCTGCCGAAAGTGCTCAGGCGCAACATGGTGGTTCCTCACAGGCAGGTGTTGATATGGAAAGGGATGCTTCGGTGGATAGTCAGAAAAAAACGGTGGCAAAGCGTGGTTTGTTCAAGAAGTGATCACGGTTTCAAGGGTACTCCTAGCTCTGTTGTTTAAACCTATACTCTCGGAACATTTGTGTTGTAGGTTAGTTTTTGTGCGTGTCGTGGTTCTTATTATTCCATGTTGTTTGCTGCAGGAACTAAAGATGTGTTTGATGATGTCTCTGGGATTGTAGCTGTCTTATGTTCGAGGAGATACTGTGTTTCGTTATGCTTTTGCAAATTATTATCTTTTTTTGGACAATCATGTTTTGGGAATTCTGGTCTCGAAATTGTGTTGTTTGCACCTATATGGATGTTATCAAAGGATGTATATTCTCTGTGCTTTTCGTTTATGTACCCGTCTATGTTTTGTCGAATAGTAGTTCTTTTGGCGGTATTGAGGTGGTGAAGGTTGCTATATGTGACTTTTGCGTGGTACCTTATTGTAATATTGCAACTGCGTTTTATATCCTTGTGAGATGTTATATGTAATATGAGTTCTACTTATCGTTGCTTAAATAGGTTGTTTCGTTTTGCGGGTACAATGTATGTCCATTCTTAGCGTAGTCATGCTCCTTTTCGCTAAATGTTCGTTGATTCTTCCTCTTAAAGTCTAACAAGCTCACGTTTTATACATGAATTAACCTGTTCTATGATTTAGTTATCAAGATGTGTTAAAACATGTTCGACATTTTGTGGAATTGATAGTCCTGAAAAGACACGTTAGAACATATATGAGCAATTGGAATAGGAATGTGTTAATTATGTTGGATACCAATATTTATGGATTCCAATTGAGGCCACATGTTCCGAAATGGAAAAGTGCTCAAGCAATTTCCTCCATAATCGCTTTTGTCTCCATAATGAAGCCTCTTTCTATACAAAGATTAAACTAATATGATTGTTTTTTCTCATTTTATTAATTTAGCACAAAGTACGATATTTTTCGAGCGGTAAAGCAATATACTAATGCATATCTAATATCACGGATACCTATAATAACATATTTTAATATTGGTAGATATGATTGCATATCTCAAATATCCATGATGATGCATTTTAAGGGAGGTCTTCTTCTTCATTGGGGTTGTGTCAACTTCTCTGGGAACTTCTCCCATCCCACTCTCATATTTCACTTAGGACTTCCTCATTTGTATCTTGTGCTTGCCAGCCGATTTGGACAGTCATCTACACAACCACCATGCTTTTGATTGTTCAAGGTAGAGTGAATCTTCAATTATGTCCGTTATTGATTCATTATATCCAATTTCATCTCAGCTCTATTAGTGAAGCTTTCCAGCAATAAATGACGTTGTTCTTTTGCATGCTTTTGTCTAGACGGTGCGGCAATGCCTCCAAGAATAAGAAAAGCTCAATATCACACTTTAACAAGTAAAAGAGCTAGAATTGAAATTCCCAAACAGCCAGCAGAGGATCTTTCAACTACTTCAGCAGTGTTCAGGGAAACACCTGCTGTGTCTCAGAGCACCATGAGGGGGTCATTATTGGATCTTCATCAAGTTTCGCCATCGCCAGCTGGTGATCAAGTTAAACATTATTCTACGTCTGCTGTCCGAAGCATGAAATATCCATGCCTGTATTATACGTTACTAGCTTTTGTTCATATCGGCTGCTGACCGTAGTAAACTTACCACTCTTATGTTTGTTGTATACATATCAGGTCCATCACGGCCGAGGAAAACGCGCTATAAGAATATGAAGCAATTGGTATCCAGTGATATAAATCGACCCATATTTTGTCAGGAACAGGGTATGCGTGATATGGGGGATGAATGTAACGAAAGCATCGGTCGAGTAACACAAGCTAGCCGTCAAAAAACTGATCGTTTGAATCGGTGGAATTTAGGCGAAGCTCCATTATGTGGTAGGCATATTCCCACGGCTAGAAAGCAACTCCACAATGATATTCTGCGGATTGGTCAGCCAGAGTGTGTTTGTAAGTACTGTGGTGCTTTGTTTTGGGATATGGAAAGGCTCGACCGCCATCGAGCGACGACTAATCCAATTTATGCATTATGCTGTCAAAAAGGTTGCGTTGGTTTGCCGCTCTTAGCACAACCTCCACATTTGTTGGCTGAACTTCTGCGATTTGATGGTGGCGCTATGTCTAAGCATTTCAGGGACAACATTAGACCGTATAATGGTTCATCGTGTTTCACATCATTTGGCGCTTCTATCGACCCTCGCTCTCTCCCTGGAAGGGGCCTTATTCAATGGTAATATGTGGAGAAAATTATCATAGGATTGGTTCGTTGTTGCCTCCTGATGGTGAAAACCCAAAGTTTGCCCAGCTCTATATTTTTGAACCAGAGAATGAAATTGACAACCATTTGGCAAATTATGCTTCCCGTGATGCTCTACTTATGCCAGAATTACTCACTTTATTGCTACAAATGCTGTATCAAAACAATCAACTTGTCAAGACATTCAGGCGAGTTTGACAGCAGTTGCAGGATTCTACAACGACAAATTTGAAACTTCGAATTTTTGGAGCTAAGAGCAGAAATCGACAATACGACTTGCCAAGAAGCACTGAAATCGCAGCACTCATACCAGGCGATTTTATTCCAGACAGGGACGATCGAGATATCATTGTTGATCACATTTATGAAGGTTTAAAGAGAATTACAAGTCTCAATCCAAAATTTGATGCATTGCATTTCCCGCTCTTATTTCCATATGGAGAGGATGGTTATCATCCGCTTATCAAATACAGGTCAGCTTTCTGTCCTCCTTCTATGCGCAGACAATTTATTACTCAGCGTGAATACTACACATTTAGGCTCCAATATCGCATCAATGAAGGCCATACAATTGTTCAATCTTGAAAAGCTCTTCAGCACTTTTGTATTGACGCCTATTCATCAATAGAGTTAAATAGGATGGCATTTCTGCGCTGCCATCAGCCACAACTTAGAGCTGAAGTTTATCAAGGCTTACAGGATGCAATGGCACGGGGTGATCTCGACGAGGATAAAGTGGGTCATGTTGTCCTCCCAGGGACTTAAATAGGTAGCCCACGATATATGCAACAATTATATCACGATGCAATGGCGGTGGTTGAATTCTTTGGAAATCCGGATCTATTTATTACATTTACATGTAATTCGTTGTGGGAAGAAATCACAGAAGCTTTTCACGATATAGTTGGTCCAAATAGCTCGAACAAACCAATGGTGGTTTCAAGGGTTTTCCACATTAAGCTCAACATTTTGATTGATGACATTAAGAAAAACTCCTACTTTGGGAAGACGATTGCAAGTAAGATCAGCCTGGTCATTTAATGTAGTTTGTTTTTTTTCAGCATTGACTATCATTTGTCTTTCAATGCACATATATGAATATTTGGCTTCTTAACAGGTTTTGTTTTGTGCCAGTAATGTATACAGTGGAGTTCCAAAAAAAAGGTCTGCCCCACATACACTTGCTGGTTTGGCTGGCCGAGGAGAATAAACTGAGGACAACTGCTGACATTGATGAGGTTATCTCAACTGAAATTCCTGACCCTCAACAAGATCCAGTTGGGTATGAGGCTGTTTGAAAATATATGTTACATGGCCCATGCGAAGCAAACACGAATGCACCGTGTATGCGAGACAAAAAAACGATCCTCAAATGGCAGATGTTTCAAACAATTCCCAAAAGAGTTTAACTCAGCCACGTCATTTGACAAATTTGGAAATGTCGTTTATAGAAGATCAAACTCGGGCATAGAGGTTCAAAAGGGCAGTTCAGTCCTCGACAATCGACATGTTGTTCCATACAACCAAAATTTGTTGGTGAGAATGCAGGCTCATATCAATGTCGAGGTTTGTCATAAAGGAAAGCTTATTAAATATCTTTTCAAGTATGTGACAAAAGGTCCAGACAGGTCATTGGTGATTGCTGAAAATGCTGGTGCACCTCACAATAATGTAGAAGTGCAATCCGTGAAATACAGAGATGAAATTCAGCAATTCATTGACTGCCGATCGTTGTCATCTTATGAAGCTATATGGAGGCTGAATGAGTATCCAATACATGTAAGAGAGCCAGCAGTTGTCCGCTTGGGAGTTCATTTGGATGGTCAGCAAAAAATACCTTATAAGAAGCAATCCAATGTTTGAAATGTTTTGGGGAATCCTTATGCCGGTAGGACGCACTTAACAGAATGGTTTGCGCTTAATCGTAGAGACCCCCAGGCGAGAATTCTTACATATGCACAGATACCCAACAACTACACTTGGCTATCTGATTGTAAAGAGTGGAGTCCTCGCAAGAAAGGATTCGCAATAGGCAGAATTGCATATGTTCCACCAGGTTCTAGCGATGTTTTCTTCCTCCGGATACTGCTCACAAAAATTCGCGGTGCTGTTAGTTATGCTCAGCTCAGGACTGTCAATGGAGAACTTTGTGCAGATTTTGAAAAAGCTTGTGAAAAATTGGGCCTTTTATCAGACTCTTCAGAATGGATACGAGTATTAGCAGATATCTCATCTTCTAGCATGCCACGAGTGATTCGAAGCACTTTCGTGTCAATGCTGATGTTCTGTGAAATACCAAGCCGGATAACATTGTTCAACTCTTCTTGGAAATCTATGTATGAAGATTATGCGTACAGTTTAATAAAGGATTTCAGAGATCAGACTCTGAGGCCCAGCGACGAACGACTGCAGAACTAGGTTCTACATCAACTACAGACTATGTTGAGCTCACACTCAATAACTCTTGAGAACTTTAATCTTCCACTCCCATCAGATGGTTTATGCGGTAGTGGTGAGAATCCACTTATAAACGAGCATCTTGCTTTTGATGTAGACCAGCAACATACACTGGCCACCACAATGTTACAGTCACTGAACGTTGAGCAAACCAATGTGTATTCAGTTGTTATCAATTCAGTAAACAACAAGATGGGCCGCACATTCTTCTTATACGACCAAGGAGGTACAGGCAAAACATATCTCTATAATGTAATTACAGCAAGACTTAGAAGTTTGGGGAAAATAGTTGTTCTGGTTGCATCATCAGGTATC